TTGATAATTTTGAATGATATTGATAGATTGAACATAATTTATACAAATTAAGTACGATTTATACTCGGCTTGATTACAACAGAAAATATATAAAATCCTTACATTTCTTATATTCATTAGAAAAGATCGAAATTGCAATTATTTTGAATTCATGCACCTTTAATCTAACCCACACTTTTCGCTGTTTCCAAGAAATGTCGGTTTAAATTTTTTCTGCCATTGAAGTCGTGCGATATGCATTATTATATTTATTTTAAAGTAACGAAACTAATTGTTTCCGTATCAAAGGGTACTGCGGCACAATAAGCACACCCTAGATATGTCAATATCAATTGCAAAATACGTGCTACAATAGACAGTTCTGCTAGCGATATTCTGTATTGTTGAAGTCGAAGCTCGCTAATGCAATTTGAACAAACTGACTTGTGCATGCAAACTTCCTGAAAGAAACTCAGTTGTAACCTTGTTTACATGTTCAATTTAGTTTATACAAGCTTTTAGTTTGCTGGTTAGCAATAAATTCTGTAAAGAATTATTTTTCTTTTACCGACATTGTTGATAAACAAAAAGCAGACATACCGGACTGATAGATCGCGTGCCAGCATGTTGGAATGTCAACTTACACGGTCAATTGCATGACCAAACAAATGAAAAATAACTGACAGAAAAGATTTTACAGAAGTCAAATTTTTTGGCTTGCACAAACTTCAACTTTGTTTTCGCGCAACAACTTTAACTCATGTGGAACCAAACAATCCTTTAATGTAAATATTTAATCTGCTTACAACGCGAGTTTTTCCTACGGCAAGATGTCGGCTGCTTAGGTTTAATCTAAATCGAACTTTTTGCACCTTGGGTATGAATGCTTTAATTTTTAGGCTAAGTTCACATTTGCTCCGAAGTAGATACGAACTGAAAGTTTGTCCCCTTTCGGCGACTGTTCGATCAGTTCGTAGACCGAGCAATTTTTCACAACTAGCGTTAGAAACCTTTCAATTAGTGATGTTCTAACTTAGTTTTTCTCATGTATTACGAGAACATTTCACTTTGTGTTCGTTCGTAGTGGTTCACACCATCATGCGAACCACTACGATAGTTAGACATAATTAGACATCCCACCAGCGTGTTGAATAATTCCTTATGCATTTACGAGTAGTCCGAAATCGAAGTTGGTATCCGAAGATTATGCTGAGTAAGTATAAGTAGTACGTGTGAGCTTCCTCAGAGTTTGTCTTCGATACCAACAGTAGTTAAGACTGGGCTTTCCGTTCGGTCCGGTTCATAGATAAAGAATAACAAGATAGAACACTTTCATAGACTCAATTATTAGTGTCCTGCAGAAAGTTCACGGCGCCCTTATCACCAATAGGGCGAATTGTTATATCATAATACGAATTTGCGCAGACTTATTTTCATACTGATCTTTAAAAACTGGAGGATATTTTAGTTGAATTAATCAAATGTTAGTTAACTCCAACACACATCGACAATCTCGGATGCAAAATGACTAATTCGTCCCGTAGCCAATAGCATCAGCATTCTCGTTATTCTTCATTATGACTAAAACCTCTATTTGGTAGTCAGTCAGAGTGATGTCACAGAATGGCTGCCAGTCAGTTGATTGTTTCAAACATTCGAAAGCATTCATCATAAAGATTACACCGAAACCATTTATACAATCGTAGTATAAAGTTTTATTTTTCTTTTTGTCACAGTTTTACTGTTCTGCATTAGTAAATCGTGCCCCATGTTTACACTGTAAGTTGAATAAATATTTCAGTTTAGTACAAGCGTTAGGATACTTGCGTGCATATCTGATTCTAGATATATGAAATTAAAACTATGATTTATATAACGCCATTTAATAATTTAAAATTTTAAGTATTAAATATACATTCTCACAATTCCTTCATGATAAAGTAAAGTATTTATTTATTATTTAATAAATATACATTTTATAACAATGTTCAGTATATTATCGTAATATCCTGTTTATAATCTGCAACAAATTTTCTACACAAAATAGTTTTGTTTGATTATTTTTTTGTAACGTCAAGAAGTCGTCATACGATAAACGAGACATCCCACCACATTTTGTCCATCGCAAAACACAAGAAGGGAAGACATTCAATTCTATTTAGGAATGGAATATAACGTTTCCATTCGTTAATAATATACTATCCACGATCCGTAGTGTGTAACTCGTTCTTATCATATTCGAAGAAACCACAACTATTTTTAACATTCGACTTTATCGTACTCTTCAGACTACATTCAAAAATAAACAAACATGTTCCATTCTATTTATATTTCACAATATTTACTAATATGTATACTCTAAATATACTACATTCATGCCCATAAGAAAAAAATATATGAAACACATTGACATTTTGTAAAATAATAGCAAAACATATTGTTACATTACGTAAATAAGGTAATATAGCTAATAAAGTACCTTGTGTGACGTATTATCGTAAATAAATAGAGAAACAAGTCCAACAAGTTTTAAACTGCTAAAAAGAATAACAAAAGCATTCTACTCTTATTTTAAACTCTTTTTTTTTTAATTTTCTAAACAAGAAGTCAACTCATATTCAATGCACAATCAACGTTATTTTTTATTAAGTAAAAATATGTTAAAGAATGCTCAAAGTATTTATTCTAATATATCATCTTATATACATGATAAAAATACATGATTTATGATAATCTTATAGATAATTAAACATTTTTACGAATTGCTAATATACTGTATTCCTTTTTTTCGTTTATGGACAAGAATGTACTTAGAATATTGTTACATTATGTAACAATATTCTAAGTAAATATTGTGTAGAATTGATAACGTTTATAATAAATACAATGCAACATGTTTATTTATTTTTAAATGTAGTTTGAAGAGGGCGATAAACAGAAATATGTCATCACTTCTAGTTTAAAATTCGAATGAACAGAACTTAAAAACGAGTTATAACTTCTTTGAATACAACGACTTATTACACAATACAAACGAATCCGTAGTGTACACAGTACACTATCGTGATGATATAAAATTAATTGTACATGTTTGTTCTCATCCTTAATGTAAATATAGTAAACTATTCAAAGCCGATCTTTTTTATAAAAACATTTTAGGACTAGCTTAAGATGTTTAAGCTTAGATAATAACGATTAATATAGTCCGACGCTTAGATCAAGATCGAAAGTCGTGTTGACACGACACAGCGAGATCCTTCTTTCTCAGTGTTGATTTCAAAAATTTGAGTCTTTTCCACTGACGAATTCAGAAAATTTTTGCAGAGGGGATGATTTAATTATACTGTATTTTATTAATGCAAAGATTCTAGCACTAGCCACGTTCAAGAAAACCACCAAAAATCATATCAAGAGCTATTGCAATTTCGCTTGAAATATTTTTATTGTTAATTTATGTTTATTTTATCTATTTTAACTTTAATATTCGTCGTTCTTTTCGTTCGTCTGAAACATTAACAAGATGCACTGCCTCGTTGTTTACCAAGTCACGAAGACTTCTTGACGTGACAAAAATAATCAAAATCAAACAGCCACTTTTTGAAGTGGAAAATTCTCGATTATAGGCAGGAAATTACCGTAATATACTGGACAGTATTGCAAAGTATACATTTTATTAAAAAGTAAATAAATAAATTTAAAAATTTCAATTAACGTTACATAAATTAGTTTTAATTTCATATATATTGATAAGCAGATTCGAGTGCATGTATCCTAATAATGCGCTATATTATTTATTCAACTTATAGTGAAACAGGACATGTTTTACTATACACAAAACAAAGTAAAATATAAGAAGAAAAGGAAATGCCTACCTTCGAAAAAGATCAAAACTTTTTACTGCGACGATTGTAGAAACGGTTTCTATGTAATCTGAATTATGGATGCTTTTACCATCAACTGACCTGCAACAATTTTAAGACTTCACTCTAGAAACCTCCATATAAAATCGCGCTTCAGGTTGGTTCACATTATAAGTATTTGTCCAACACATTACTGAATGGCAGAATATTTAGTTGAATATACAGTATTGTTAAAATTATTGGCAACAGGAAATAGAACAATCAACGAGGAAACCTCAAAGAGTAAGTTCTTGCGACCGATTTTTACTTCTTTTACCATAGTATTGTAAATATTCCTTATTAATATTTTAGTATTACAGTATTTTAATTTTCGCTTACAGAAGCATTCACTTTTTATCAGACTTTATCGACACGTTTTCAAAATCGCTTCTTCATAATGGAGTTTTTAATTAGTTGCTTACTTCCAGTACACACCTCTCATTAGTGCCGTATTGGTAAACGGTGACGTTTTTCCAAAGTGCTTTTGCGTGACCAGATACTGATTATTCGTCTATATTTTAATCATCATTTCCAGTCGAATTTGTTTCTCGAACGCTTTGTTTATCCGTTAGCAAGTGGCATTACCAACTATACAATTCCACGAGTTGTTTCCATTAAGATAAGAAAGTCGGAAGACGAAAAGACACGAAAACGGGCTTCTATTGACCATCGAACAGCAATTTTTCTTCAAGCAGAAAAATTACGATATGGACAAGTTAGAAAAATATGTATAATGTGAACCAGCTTTTACGGACCAATACTCTTTGTTCTAAAGAAGGCGCTTTCTACAAGAGCCTTTTCAACGTCGTGTCCAAAGGTACTTCGCACCTGTCCATTTTTTACCCTTTCACTTTCCGGAAGGCGACGTTTTCCGTTCGAGTCGATTATCCAGCATGAAGACGAATCGTGAAGGGACAGAACAGACACGGTCCATGGCGTCCTATTTCCGAATTTCGGTGGTAAAGAATGCAGTCCGGAAACAGTTTTAAAATCGTCGTCGTTAAATTAAAGCAGTTTTTATTTAATTTATATCAAATTACGATAAATTTCGCCCGAGGAAACATGATTTAAAAATGCGTGGACGCGTCGCGACCGAAAAGAAAACGACAAACACAACGTGAATTTTGTGAAAGAATTTCAGCTTTACTAACAAGACACAGGCTCGTATCGTAGCCTTTTTTTTTTTTTACTCGATTGCCGCAGACAGAAGTATTTGGCGCGTGCGCCGGTCGGTCACTGTTGCAAGCCTACTAACAGCGATAGTGATTACGTACATCGTGGAACTATATTACATTAACTATGGAAAATAGGGAGGAAGCTTCGACCGATGCAGACGCACCCGTCGTTATCGCGCGGTCCGTTCGGCCTCTCCCCGTCGTCAGACCCGGTAACAGCAAAGTCCGGTAAATGTGGGTGGCTACTTACGCGCGTCCGTCCTTTCCGCTCCGCTAAAAAACCAAATAAAAGAAGAGACGAGGTCCCGGTGGGCACGGGCTACCAAGAAAGAAGATATGTGGCGTACTTCGTCGAGTATAAATACGTCCCCATTCGGCCCTTTTTTTAACGTTCGTCGGCGGAGGGCGCCGCTTCCTTTCGGCGGGGAACCGCCGGTCGTCCCGGGAAAATGTACACACTGGGCCGACGACGCAGCCGAAGAAAGCGTGGCTCGACGTTGGCGGAGGGACGACGATCACGCGCCTTCCGCCCGGGGTCCGGGACCGGGCGCGCGCTCGGCGCCGTTTCTTCGACGACGAAAGACAAAATACACTCTTCCGGGTCCGGTAGGTATTGTTTATATTCGGAAACAACTGACGTAGACGTGATAGGGAACGAGACGGGCGTTCCTCCGGCACCCGCCCGCCGCTTATTTCCTTTTTACTGGTAACGATGACTAAAGGCTACGACTTTTCCGACGTGCTCGACTGGCGACTGTGTTTAGGATAGTTTGGTTTCAGATACTCCTCGCTTGCCAACGAGAAGACGTCGATTCGATCTTCTTTGCGGTACTGCAGACAGCGACGGATGAATTGCTGAAAATACAAAACGATTTCTATCAGTCACTCAATCCCTATCTTCTTTACTCGTTACCTAACCACAAACGCGTCCGTGGCTCACCCCTCACCTCTGGGTTAAAATATAATACTACCTTGGTTGCCACGTATTGACCTGCTGAATGTAGGACAATTCGACAAAAAAAAGTATATTAATAATAAAATTATGATTTACTTCGGATAAATTTAGGTGAAAATTAACAATAATTTAATATAATGCAGTACAGTATATACTAATAGTCTACATATTGTACATATTCATTCATTATGTCTGCTTATATATATATATTTTTTTTTTACCATTCTTCACATATTTCAACAGTTATACATTATTCTGTACCTTTTCAAAAAAAGTTGTATGCAACTGCTTTTACAATTGACACTCTACTTTGATAAGTTAATGAAATTTAATGGCAATTATAGCGCTTCCACCGTGACCAAAAATGGAAGTTTGTAGTAGAACGAAACTTTTCATTCTTGGAGGAAAATGTTTTTGTTAACGAAAATTTTTATTGTGTTCACAAAATCCTATATGTGCATTCAGAAATTAATTGAACGATCTTTGTTTCTTTTAAAATGAGTTAATTTTTTAATATAAAAGTTTTTTGTTTAAAAATATAAAGTATGACACGTGGCAACCCTACCCACAACAGAAAGTAAATCATTTCCATATGGGAAGATACATTAATTCCCAAAAGCTTTACGATTATATTAATTAAAAACATTTAACGATTAAACTTAGACGTTAAAAATAATAACACAGTTATAAATAAACTACATCAAATTTGTTAAAGTAGTTTTTTGTAACTACATCAACAAATTTGATTTCATTTCATTCCAGTTCTATTCTTTAAATAATTGCAGCCATTATCGAGAATCTGAATGATGTTCTTCGGCACGCATCCCAATATCCAAACTAAAAAAATCCCGATATCGCAAAGTTATTCGATGTGCATTTTGTGAAAAGTTCAATTCGCGCTAACGAAAGTGGAAATTAGAGCGATTGCTTTCTTGATCTCTGCTTTTTTGTTTCAGTGGCATTGTGTTTGCATTGTAATATGGATAGGCAATTCAGTAATTTTATCACAAAATTTCGATATAATGTTTTCAGATTATTTTTGATAGTTAAGCACTCAGGAGAATATCACAAATTCAACAGCAAAGATAAATAATCTTTCAGTTCTTTACTATCCCAAACTCGCTACAGCAATAATGACCGATTGAAATTAATTACCACCATTAACTTTCCGTAACCCCACCCCTTCAGACGTCCAGCAAAACTCAACCACCCTCAAAATCTTTATCAATTTAAGCACAATAAAATATATAAATTGAGTAAAATTTAATGAAATAAAACGGACTCCAATGCAATTCAACCCTCCTCCCTTCTGTCCGACTTGTCATAATATACAAGTCGGGCATCCTCTTTAAATATTCATACTTAAAGAGGATGAATGTCTGTAGTTCTTAACTCATAAAATGGTTAGTTTTACCTCAAAAATTTCATCTTTTAATAGGACCATTATGATAACTGGAGAGTCTCTTATATAGTACTCAAAAGTGCTTGAATTTTTTTACATTGTATTTTCTTGATTTTAAGATATTTTTATGAAAGAAAATATATTTAAATAATGAGTTTTATTAAATTCTGTTAAGTACAAATGAGAAAAACAATTCAATTGTCATGAAATAGGTAGTGTCCAACCTGCTCTATTTCCATGCTCTTTACTATTTTCCAACTTTTAATGCTGTGTCATAATATAGTTTTGACAGCATTTTAAACATTAAAAAGTTTACATTAAACACTCATTGTCAGAAAGCTACATTTAAACTTAAAGTAATGTGAATATTGAACTTAAAAAGTAAATGACTTTTAACTAGAATTAAATGAAGATAGATGAAAAATTATGCACATCAAATGCTTATATAAAACTTGGCAAATATAATAAAATAAACAAGGAAAATAAAAATCTCTTTATTTGCTGCCAACGATATCTGAGAAGCTAAGGATACTGTATAAAAAAACCAAAATTTCTTTCTCTCGCAGCAAGAATGGTCAATTTTTATAGCAAACTCCAGTTTCTACTAACTTGCCAATGACACAAATTTCATTTAACATAAATTTTTCACTTGAAGTCTACATTTAGACAAGATGATTGCTGCTCCTGTGAGTGATTACTGCACAGGTACATACAATGAACTGTATATTCTTATAGACAACTTAAAAAAAAAATAAGTATTGCTGAAGGCATTTCATTTCTGAACAGTGGGTATCTATTCGTGAAAGATATTTCACAAATTGATACCCACTGTTAAAGATATATTATTTGCTTTATTAGGTCAACTTTTTCCAAAATAGAGACAGTTATATCTATAAGTTGAAACCAACAAGTTAATTACTTCAGATGTTAAACATGAATATAGGAATCTTCAAGACATTAAAAAAATTGATGATAATCTTAACTTACAAATGATTCAAATACAATTCTTTTTTTAGTAGAGAGAAAATTCCTCCACTAAGTAGAATACCAGAAGTCTTCAGTTAGTAAAAGTAAATTTCCAACTTCTTTAGGAGCCAATCAATATTTGAGAACAAATAAAATGTTGCATAGAAACATTTATTATTCAACTACATATATATATATATATATAATATTGTAATAGAGCATTTTCTATTTGCAAATAGTGATGTAATCATCAGCAATATGCTAATTTAACTATTTAGTAGTTCCAAATCAGTAAAATGTTGGAATAGCTTAAAAAAAAAAAAAACTAGACAAAATTTTAAATGTTTGAAAATCAAAATGAATTTAGAATTCTGTCTATCTATTCCTTTTAGATTTAAGAATCTTTTTGTTAAATAAATTATTCTGCTTTAAAGTTGTTAACAGCTTATATTTTTAAATTTAAAATTTTTCTAACTTTGATTCTATTTTTAAAATTAAACACTAAATTTGTATTAACACAAATGGAAGTTTATTTTATACTCACTTTTGCCTCACCACTGACAGCAGGTTTAGGTGGAAATTCTACATCCGTTGCTTTCAATATAGTATTTTCTTCTAAAATTGTAGCCTGAGACTGGTTATGGCCAAAAGGCTGAAAAATTATAATTTTCATATCATAAAAATACAAACAATAAATTCTAAAGTATCTATAATATTCCATTTGAACAAATAAATTAATCAATCTATTTATGTAAATTATTATTACAGGTAAAACTTTATAAACATACTTTATGATCATTTCTTTAATAGTTTTCAATAAATGCACATAATTACATCAATCATAATAATATATTTCTAGATTTTAAAGCAGAATAAAAAGTAATCTTTGTTTTGGTTAAGAAAATTTTAAAGTTTCAAGAAAGCTTTGTTTCATTATACAAAAGAATTAAACCTACAAAACAAAAAATGTAACATCATAGTAACTTATTTTGTTCTTACACTAATGCAAAAATACTTTCTCATTGACCATAACAATTTTCAGTTAAATGAAAAAAAAACCATCCTTCAAACTTTTCAATTCAGTTAACAGTGGAAATTAAATGTAACAACTTGCTTATATTTGATATTTGTTAACTTACACATAATTTTTGTTTACTTCATATGAATTAATTCAAAATAAAATTAATTATACCTTTAACACAATTCCTATAATAATGTCACTAACTTTTATATTTTATAGCATTTTTTACACATGTATATAAGTTGATTTTTATTTAGCTGTTATTTTATTATACAATGCAGGTTAATTGTTGATGGAAGTAAAAATCCATTGTCATAACACATTTCCAATTATATGNGCAATGAATTTTGAACATATCTAACAAGAATTTATAGGACTACTCAATGTTTATAAGTTGGCACTTACTGTAAACAGATACCTTGTAGGTTGTCCAAGACATTCAAAATTTCTTTTTATGTTTACAGCTAATGAATGACTGTGTAGTGTGTACAGTAAAAAAAGTTTATTTTTTTGTTAGTGTGGTAATTTGTTTTGTATTACCTGGTAGTTTATATATTAAAAAAACTGCAGATTGGACAACAGTCCAAACTGCAGTTTGCAACTACGATTTCATCACAGGACAACCAGAAACTCTGTACGAAATATAATATTTTTGCCAAGACCAATGATAATCTAAAGCTGCTTGACTGCTAGACAATTAACACACTTAAATTTCTAACCCAGTTACAGCAATGTAATTTTGAGAGTTTGCTTTTGTATAAATAATATATGGATGAGAATAAGAATAATACCAATATTTGTCTTTAATAGAAAACCAAGAATTTTTTAGAACTTTACTTAAATTCAATGCATAGTGTTTCATAAGACAACATATGCACAAATTGTTTTTACTTAGTAGAAACATTTAAATTTAATTTATTAAAAGAAAGTGAATCATGAATCCAGCCTAATTTTCATTTCAGAAATGCAATGCAATCCTTGAAATATTTTCTGAGAACTTTTGGAAACAAGAGAAAACAGTATTTTTAAATTATGAGAATATCAAAACTGATGCATTTAAATTCATAAAAACATGTTAATATTTCTATAATGTTATTCTTATTATCAAATTCTGTTTACCTAAAAACTTCAGTGTTACTCTTTGTCATTAATACACTTTCCTTGTCCATGTAAGCTCAAATTCAAATTACCAAGCTTTTCAAATATAAGCTGCTCATTTGCCAAATTGATTAACTCCATAAAACAAAACATAAAGAAATTGATAACATAAAATATTTTTAAAAATTTCTTTTAGACTTTAAACACTGTAGTGTATTTTTATATGTATTTCATAAGCATAACCAATTTTGTATGTTGTTACATTTTTGCATATAGTTTTACATTAACAAATCTAAAAATAACATACAAAAATGTAAAAGTAATGATTATTCCAATGATATAGTAATGGAGATGATTTGGCCTATGAATGGCTCATATTTGAACTAAATAATTTAATTTTTCTTATTGATTCATTCTTCATTAATAAAGTCAGTCATCGTATAATTTTTCCTAATATTGACAGAAATCACTTTCTGTATCAATAATGTATTGCAATATTAAGCAATAATCTTCTCACTTCTATAACTTCTATATTCATAAAAACTACACTTCTAGATTTTCATATAATATAAGTCTACCAATTAGCATGTTAAATTGCTACGGTTAAGCTTCTTCTACACACATGCTTCAAATAATATTCTAATGGATGTCACATTCACAATCATATGATCAAGAATATCATCAGTGTTTGAAATTTCAACAAATTCATCAATATCCCAAATGGTAAGACAAACAAACTTACTTTTTAACCAACCTATAAATATTACTGAACATTTGTTATAAAATGAAAATGAGCAGTGTAATACAAAATATTAATAAATCTTAAAAAGTTATTTGGACAACTACCCCTATTTCAAAACTTCCCAGTTTTTCTGATTACTTATTGAAAAAAATAATTAATCAAAGTTAAAAACAGATCACATTAACTTATTTTATTAATTTAGAAATTACTTGCTAGGACCAAGAAACTGTCAAACTTCTAAAAATGCCTCCACACTACTAGAGAAATTTTTGATTACCTCATTTTATTAACTCTTGTTACCAATCAAAATTAGTTAAAATCAAGTATCTATATGTAATTGAAAACAAAAACTATAACTTCTGAATTCCAGATGCAATTAAATTCATAATATAAGATTAATTAAAGTACCAGGAAGGAAATAATGCTTTAAAAAAAATTACAAAAGTTAAAATCAACTTGATAATTAATAAATAAATTGTTAAGTTCATTTTAATTATTTAATTAAAAAATAACTTAGTGGGAGTGAAAATATAATAATTTGGATTACAGTTAGGGTATCAACTTCTCATAAGGAAAAGAAATAAGCTGAAAAAAAATTCCTCAATAGTTTTTCAGATCATTTCCAAACAGTTTTCATTCTATTAATAATTTTTAAAAAGTAAGTAAAATTCCAAACAGTTGGCATCTCTAACAGTGAAGCTTATGCAAAAACCCAATGAAAGATATAATCTTACCTTCATTACCATCTTTATTACTAAAAAATTTATTATTAGATAACAGTTTGAGATCATTCTTCATATATTAACTTTGTAAGTTTTAAACTGCAATCGCAACTTTTTATAAATGTTAAAATGAATTTTTGATTTATTTTTACTTTATAATTATAAAGTAAAAAATAAATAAAAAATTTCAAATAATCTAAAATATAAAAATATGTTTTAAACTATTTCATACAATAATTTACATATAAACAGAACATCAACCAGATGAGTCACTAAAACTTTTTGCAATGAATTTTGAACATATCTAACAAGAATTTATAGGACTACTCAATGTTTATAAGTTGGCACTTACTGTAAACAGATANCTATTTCTAAAATAGAAATGTATAAAAAGTAATAATGTAGATAAGGCTGATTGTGTAAAATCTATTATCTAAATATGCTTTAATATTTTTCAAAGTGAAAAGTAATTAACTGTGTTAAAATTAAGTCTAAACCATAATTCAGTTTTCACTTGTGAATCATACAATAATTTGTTTATTTTGTACCTTTGATATTCTTAATCCTCATTTTCAGAGTCTTTATGTTGTAGTTGCCTGCCTATAAATCAATGTACAAGTAAAACTTTTCATTGACAAAAAAGTTTTTGTCATTATGTTTATACAAGTTTATGCTGTCATTTATGTTTTCTTGACACATCAGCAATGATATAATAAAATGCATATTAACCACTTTCTATGCAAAAAGATTTATAGCAATGTTTAGTATATTTCTTTTTTGTTTTTGGTTTGAAATAGTTTAGATTATATTTAGCCTTTCAATTGTTTTGTTGTTTAAATAATACAATATATTCTTCATACAACTAACATACAAAAACAGAACAAAGAATGTTTTGCTTGTATGTTAAGTTTCATGCTGTTCTTATCAGTAGTTCCTCAGATATGAGCCAAATTAATAATTATGCTTATTTTTTGGAAATGAATGTATTATGTTTTTATAATCTGTCCAATAAAAGATGAACTAAGTCATTTTTGATGAGGGATCAACCAGTCTCATTGACAATTAAAATATGAGTCTATATTTGTAATACTAATAGACTATAAACTCTTGCTCTTTTCATTTCCATCAAATGAACTTTGAGAATTGAAATAATTATATATACTTAAAACATTAGCCCTAGCTTAACTATTCAAAATTTATTTCCAGACAACAGTGTTATTTTCTGCTATTTTGCTAACAAAACAAAAACTAAAGATGATGTCATTACCATTTGTTATATTTGCTTCATTTTTTGTTTTGTTCTAAATTGTAGAAATCTGTTTTATATTAATTAAAATAACACTTGTATACAATTTAAAACTGTCACGAGCAACCCATTGCAGGTCAAATGCAGCATCTAGGATTTTGGCAACAATTTTATTTTCCAGTTTTCTGCCTCATGTCATTATGCAACCCTGATTCAGCTAATAATTGTAACAAAATATTCAAACTTGATCAGTGAAAATATGAAAATAAGTTTTATATTACTAGCTTGCATAATATGAAAATTAGTAATATATACTTTATTCTCAACTTAGTTATATGAAAAATTTTCTATGCAAAAAGATTTATAGAAAATCTTTTTGCATAGAAAAAAGATTTTCTATGCAAAAAGAAGTCAGAGAAAAAATGTCAGAGACATTAAAATAAATAAATATATTTATTTTAATGTCTCTGATGTATTTACNAAGTTCATTTTAATTATTTAATTTTGAAAATTTTCTATATTTCATAATTTGTTTTTTGTTCTACATAGTTGTACCCATAATTTGTTGACAATGACAAAAGTTTAACTGAAAACATTATTATTGACATTTACATATTTAATAAATATCTTTAAAAATTTACAATTATTTAAATTAATTATTAAAATCATATCATAGCCATAAACATCCTACATCTGTACGTATTAATGGTATTGAAAAAACAAACCTTTTTTCCATAGAGGCATTGATAAAAAATTACTCCTACACTCCAAACATCCACTTTAGATGAAATTTTTGGAGGAGTTTTTCCAACAACAAAACATTCAGGAGGAAGATACCTATATTTTATAATATATTTTACATTAAATATATAATTATTTGAAAAATTCAATAATTAATATAAATAATATTAAGGTTTATATTTTTTACACACTTTTGATTACTTTCGACTCTTATAAAACAGTTGATTAAATTAAATATTTTTAATATGTCTATTTCTAAAATAGAAATGTATAAAAAGTAATAATGTAGATAAGGCTGATTGTGTAAAATCTATTATCTAAATATGCTTTAATATTTTTCAAAGTGAAAAGTAATTAACTGTGTTAAAATTAAGTCTAAACCATAATTCAGTTTTCACTTGTGAATCATACAATAATTTGTTTATTTTGTACCTTTGATATTCTTAATCCTCATTTTCAGAGTCTTTATGTTGTAGTTGCCTGCCTATAAATCAATGTACAAGTAAAACTTTTCATTGACAAAAAAGTTTTTGTCATTATGTTTATACAAGTTTATGCTGTCATTTATGTTTTCTTGACACATCAGCAATGATATAATAAAATGCATATTAACCACTTTCTATGCAAAAAGATTTATAGCAATGTTTAGTATATTTCTTTTTTGTTTTTGGTTTGAAATAGTTTAGATTATATTTAGCCTTTCAATTGTTTTGTTGTTTAAATAATACAATATATTCTTCATACAACTAACATACAAAAACAGAACAAAGAATGTTTTGCTTGTATGTTAAGTTTCATGCTGTTCTTATCAGTAGTTCCTCAGATATGAGCCAAATTAATAATTATGCTTATTTTTTGGAAATGAATGTATTATGTTTTTATAATCTGTCCAATAAAAGATGAACTAAGTCATTTTTGATGAGGGATCAACCAGTCTCATTGACAATTAAAATATGAGTCTATATTTGTAATACTAATAGACTATAAACTCTTGCTCTTTTCATTTCCATCAAATGAACTTTGAGAATTGAAATAATTATATATACTTAAAACATTAGCCCTAGCTTAACTATTCAAAATTTATTTCCAGACAACAGTGTTATTTTCTGCTATTTTGCTAACAAAACAAAAACTAAAGATGATGTCATTACCATTTGTTATATTTGCTTCATTTTTTGTTTTGTTCTAAATTGTAGAAATCTGTTTTATATTAATTAAAATAACACTTGTATACAATTTAAAACTGTCACGAGCAACCCATTGCAGGTCAAATGCAGCATCTAGGATTTTGGCAACAATTTTATTTTCCAGTTTTCTGCCTCATGTCATTATGCAACCCTGATTCAGCTAATAATTGTAACAAAATATTCAAACTTGATCAGTGAAAATATGAAAATAAGTTTTATATTACTAGCTTGCATAATATGAAAATTAGTAATATATACTTTATTCTCAACTTAGTTATATGAAAAATTTTCTATGCAAAAAGATTTATAGAAAATCTTTTTGCATAGAAAAAAGATTTTCTATGCAAAAAGAAGTCAGAGAAAAAATGTCAGAGACATTAAAATAAATAAATATATTTATTTTAATGTCTCTGATGTATTTACTATCATTAAATATTTACGGCCACTATTTTTTCAATAGATGACATTATGTTACACAAATTTTACATTTTTGGTGAGAAAATGTAGTTTATTTTGGAATATGACAGTGTCTGTGTAAATTGTTTTTGGTAGTTTTTTTTTTTCAAAAAATAATCAAAATTATTAATAAAATAACATAAATTATAAATAAATAAAATTATTCTACTTTTAGAAAAAAAACATATATAAGTGCTAATTTTTTGGAAATTATTTCATATATATTAATTATACATTAAATATTAACAAAAAAATAACATTTTTTGTATAGTAATCATGAAAAAAATTCAACTGAGAAGGATTTGTTAAAGTCTGCAACTCTAAGAAAAAATGCACATTGCCTGCTGGAAGTCTGTGAAGTTCACTTATGGTCCATATCCACAAAAAAGGCTGCTCATCAGCGATTTAAAATCTTATTAAATAATTTTAAGTTAGAATTTCAGCATCTTATTGGCTAGCCTGATCATTCAATCCATCAAGTCTTTACCATGTAAGGAAATCCTCTTTTATTTAACATATGTAATTAATGTTATTTGATAATAAAACAGAAATAAAACAAATTAATAAAAAAATTTTTATTTCATGGCTATTTGTGTTTTCAATACTTAATACAGGTTAAATCAGTGTTTTTCAACCTTTCTCATTGAGTGGCACACCTAATTGAAAAATAACAAATCGTGACACCCTTGACCAGTGGCGGATCTAGAATCTGAATAAGGGGGGGACTAATGGGCTAGATGAATTTTTTGCGAAAACGAATATTATGTGCAACACAAAAGTGTTTTTACGTGTTCAAAATCAAAATTTAAGTTTATTGAATTTTATCGAAATACCTACATGTAAAATAATAGTCTTGCTATTGTTTTTTAAATATAGTTTTATTATCAAATATATCATCTTTTTATATTATCATTTTATTGATAAACAATTTTTCTTAAGTTTTTTAAATACTATTTTAATGTATATACAAAATAAATATTTCCTTACTTTTTCTTATCCTTTTCATATCAATTTTAAAAATTTAAATTAAAAAAATAATAACAATTGTTTATTTGTCATCATTGCTTTTGAATCTATGAAAATACTGTTATATGCACCTACTTTGTGATTGAAACCACACGCTTTTCAAAGTACAATGCAACGCTTTTTAAAGTATATACAAGACACAAGAAGAACGACGTGGACACATGTCCACGTTGTTCTTCTCTGGTGGTTGGCCTGGTACTGGGACTGGGAACATGAAGGCCAAGCAATGTGGTTTGGGCGAACTCATGACAAGTCGTGCGTACACATAACGTAGAACATTACATTAACATGCGATTAGTCATAGTTTCTTTGCTTACTAGATATCTCGTAACAAAATAGAACTGACAATGAGTTATCTTGAACTACACTTAAGTAAATTTCCAAGAAAATGCCTAAAGGCTCTAAACTTTGCGACACCCTAATCGTGGCGCCGCAGCACCCCGATTGAAAAACACTGGGTTAAATATTAAATACAGTGGAACCTCGGTATATGTCTGCTTTAGAATACGTCCAATTCAGAATACATCCTGTTTGGACGAAACAAATTTTGCTCGGTATACGACTTTTGTTCGGTATATGACTTAATTCAATTATACACGCCATCTATGAACAAGTAGCACTATCAGTGTACTACACTAGACTAGACGTTTGCGGTGCTACGGTTTATAACTTTGTTAAATTTCTTCTGATTTTAATTTGTAAGTAACATTTTATTATTTTTATTAATCATGAATTGCAAAAGGGCAACAGAAAAATAAAAAAATGACTAGAATCATAACGGAACTGAAAAAAGAGATTGTTCAGAAATATGAAGGTGGCACGCGTGTTTGAGATTTAACAAGATTTAACTGTTGCATTCCGTATTCCGAGAATGACAATATCGACAATTGTGAAAAATAAAGATATTACTGTATTAAATTTGCTAATGTTGCGAAATGGGTTAAATCAATTTCTAAACAGAGATCGAAGACATTAGATCGTGTCGAGAAATTGCTTTTGCTTTGGATAACTGAAAAACAGTGTGCCGGCGACAGCGTATCGGAAGAAATTATTTGCGAGAAAGTTAAAAGGATACATGCTGATCTCATGAAAAATCAAGCAGAAACTAGCAAGGAAAGCCAGGTGTTTAAAGCCAGCCATTTTTTTTACATGAGAACGGATTAATCATTTTTACATCACTTGTTATGGAAAAGGTTGGTTTGATATACGTCCTATTCAGTATAAGTCCAAACACCAGGAACGAATTAAGGTCATATACCGAGGTTCCACTGTATGTAACTTCTGTTTTAAATATTCTGTTTGTTTCACTTCACTTAGTTTATAATTATATCCACAAATGAATTGTTAATAGAAAAAAAATGAAAAAAACAGGAAATAAACATTAAATTCCTAAATTAAAACACTGCTGGATTAAAGTAACCAAAATTTGTGTCGACATGTTTTCAAACAAAATGCAGAGGATGAATTCTACATTCAGATGTTTGAATTTTTCCATTTGCATGAACAACAAGAGTTTGAAAAAACTGAATATGTAAATAAAGTTTTTGCCTGTAAATTATAATCAAGCAGCATCTTCATTTTATTTATGATAGTACTATGTTTCACAAAATTTGAAGATTAGAATTTCTGTATTAATGATCAATTGCGATTTAATTCTCATGCTGATTTTAATTAAATGAAGACTAACAAATGTAATGATTTATTTATTATATAATAAAAATAAATTTTCTAAATTTAAATAATTTGATACATACCAATATGTTCCAGCACCTTGTGAAGTGAGGTCCATGCCACAATCTGGACTATAATTATCATCATCCATTATTTTACTGAGTCCAAAATCTGTTATTTTGATTTCCCCACTGAGACTACCACTTCCTAAAAGAATGTTTCCTGAAAGAAATAAAAATAAATTAAAAGAAAAAAAAAGGAGTAAAATTCTTAAAATGCATTTAAAAAACTACAATTTGACAATGTAGACTCCAAAATTTTAAAATATGGATTTAAGTTTGAAATCTGAATTTTGCATGTATACAAACCTATCATAAAGTTACATTCCATTTGTACCAGCAACAACAGCATGCCACAGTGGCAACAAGCTGAGTACAGAAATTATAACAAACATTTTAAAAAGTGTTAAATCCATCTGTTATGGTAGCAAACATTAAAAGCTTTTTTGATAAACATCATACAGCAGAAGTCATTTATTGTAATCATATACCACCTATATTGTTATCAGAGTTAACAACTCCTAAAACTTAAGTTAAATGGTGGCAGCTAGAGGCAAAATTGAAAATTAAAATGGATTAATCCACATTCTATTTTTGGCATATTATAAAAACATAAAAATTAAACTACAAAAATAAATTGACTTACTAAGGAACAAGATTTTGCATTCTAGACAATTTTAGGCATAGAAGTATATTGCAAAAATCCTTAACCCAGCACTACATCAGATTTGTAATGCCATTACTTGAGGATGAGTGCTGTCTCACCTTACATATTTTCATATTCTTAATGATTTGTCTTGAAAAATTTTACTTAAATCAGGAAGTTTTGTTATGAATAATACACATTTTAATATTTATCTTCCTTTACTTCAGTTAGAATACGTTAAAAATAATTTATTTTGATATAGAAACAGAAAATTCATATCTGATGAAATCGATAAAATAGAAATACGATATCCAAAATTATTGTTAAACTTAATTATATATAGGCCATACTGAAAGTCAAGAGCAACAATTTTTTTTTTATAAATCACAATCTATTAATTATAAAAAACTAAGAACATTGTCATAATTTATAGACAATGCCATGAGTGAGTCATGATGTCATTAGCTTCCATCATGTGACCATAGACAGATGCTACAAAATAGCTGCAACTGTTGTTTCATTTTGATAGCATGCTGTGATTGAATTTCTTGTTAAAGAGGGAATCTCTACTGCAGAAATTCACCAGAAACTTCAGCATGCATATGGAGATGTATGTATGGATGCCAGCAGTGTTAGATGATGAATAAAACATTTTAAAGATGGAAATCCAAGCACTGAAGATCAGCTGTGTAGTGGCCATCCACAAAGCTCTATTTTCTGGGATGCAGATGGCGTGATTTGGGTGGAATTTCTTGAACCTGAGCAAACCATTAATACTGCTTGGTACATCATGATACTTTGAGTATGTTTGTAAAGTCAAATGAGTTAAATGCGTTAGTAACAAATCAGTTAAAAAATAGTAGCCTTGCTCAGTGCGCATGCTCTGACATGATGACATTTTGAACGAAACTCTAACGAAGTTCACAAAGGAAAAAGTTAGTTTACTTTGTTAAAAAAATGATGCCCAATGATATCAATGTTTCTAAATGTACTTGAGTGTTTAAATTGTAAATTAAAAGGTGAAATGATAGAAATAACTGCCTACCCAAAGCAATCTAAGAAAAATATTTCAGATAACACTGTACTAGCAACATTCACATCTTCGATTTTAGAAACAGCCATTTAGTTATAAACAAATCAGTCGAAAAGTTTAACGAAATAAGAATAACGATAACATCATTCTAATTTAACTCGTTTGACTTTACAAATGTACCCTTCATAAGCTCTGTTGTGCATTGTGTGATGTTTATCCTGGGAAGAAGATCATCCTGCAGCACAATGTGAGGCCCCACACTATTCTTTATACCATGGTGAAAATTTGAAAAAGGGGTGAAAAGTTCTTCTGTATCCTGCCTACTGTCTCAAATCAGCAACCTCCAATTACAGTAGAACCTCGATTATCCGCCCCCGATCAACCGACCGTCCTAGTCGGCAAATTTCAAATGTCCGCTAGTGATGTGGCGCTACAATATTTGGCTATGTCTTGGCTACTTTAATATTATTTTTACGTGTTTTAGCTGGCAACACTCATTCGACCATGAAAGGGAGCCAGTATTTAAACGAGGCTTAATTTTCTAATTTTTAACGATACAATAGTGACGATTATTATTTTAAAAAATTTTTGTTAGGCTTAACATCGATGAAAATTCAACGCAAAATAGGTTAATAGCGATATACTAATATACTAATTACATGGGATATAATAATATACTACAGTAATAATGGATTTTTTCATACTTTTCGGTTATTCGACTTTTCAATTATCCCCAGTCCCCAATTAGGGTGGATAATCGAGTCCCCAATTAGGGTGGATACCCAGTCCCCAATTAGGGTGGATAATCGAGGTTCTACTGTATCGTCATTTCAGTGTTGTGAAGGAACACCGAAATGTTTTGAAGCATGGCAAGACACATGCTTCAAAACAGTGGAGGACATGAAGAAAGCAGTGTGTCAGTTTCTTTTGTAGTGCTGGATTGGAATTTTCAATCTCCAATAACAATGGGTAAAATGTATCCAAAAAACAAAGAAAAGTCTGAAAAATAATGTGATGTATTTGTTTTTCCAAAAATAAATTAATCTGATTTATAAAAAACCGTTGCTCATGATTTTCAATACGACCCTTATAATTTCTATTCAAGTTTTGAATCTGTTTATTCTGGATTTTTAAAATGGCATTGTTTGCAGATTGTTATTATGTGGTATCTGCAGATTGGTGAATTAGACTACATGTTACATTCTTGGATGCTGTTTTACTATTCTTCTTTATTGGGCAACAGGCAAAATTTTCTCTTGAGACTGATGTTGCCTGTGGAAGTTTTGGTTTTTCTCAACACTTCCAAGATTTTCATAAAGAGCTTCTCCCTCTCATTATCTGCAAGGATGGAACTTTATCAGATGCCTCATCAAGTCATTTCAGAAATATTTCATCATGCTTTTTTTGATAGTAAATATATACAATATCATTTTGCTATTAGAATCATACCACTTCAAAATGTGAAAAAAGAGACAGATTTACTTGTGGGTGAGGGCCATACTAACTTGTCCAACACAACTGAAACAAAGGTGGCACTAAAAAGTATTAGCAATGACTATTATTTCTGATTCAGGTATGTTATAGAAGGGGATACTTGGGAAAGAAGGTAGACGAGAGTTTAACCACAAAACTCCCAAGAAGCCTGAGTTACAAGCATTTGAAACAAGAAGTGAGCACTGAACTCACCCTCAAGTAATGGTGGATTAATTGTGCTGAAAGCACAACTTCAAGCTTATGAAAAAAAATATATACATGTATATATATGTATGCATACATACATACATACATACAAAGTACTGCTAGTTTATCATCAAAAATTGACTGCAAGGCATGATGATCATAAATTATGACAAATAATCAAAGGTATAAGAAGAGGGAACATCAAAAGAAATAAATATAGAGTAGAAAAAGAAAGTAGGTGTCTGTAACTGTATAGTAAAGAATCATCTCAACTACATGGGCTGTTTTTGTTTTTGCCTTGTAGAAGGCAAAAACAGAACTAGCATTAACATATGCATTGAGGAAAGCACAATTGTAGTAGTGTAATGCATATAAAATGAGTAGATGACTGAGCAAATGTCATATTAGTAATGAACTGCAGATTCGAGGAGGAACAGGAGATAATAATGGCTGTTTTGTTTGGCCTTATTTATTAATTTTATTTACTTAGAGAAAAATTTCTTCAAGAATGCCAGAAGACATGGATAAATGAACATTATTAAAACAACTGTTAATTCTGAATGCTATAGGAATTTTGAAATACTGTTTACTCACATGTATTGATGATTGATTTGGAGAAGATAATAATTTTATCAAGATGCTAATGCTGCTTGTCATTGCAATAATTGTTAAAAAGTTTCATGCTCAAAATACCATCAAAATACTTCCATGGACAGCAAACAGCACCAATCTCAATCCAATTGAGAATGTGTGGCTGAAACTAAAACAGTTGCTAAGAAGTAAAAATCAAACAACAAGAAAGAACTGTGTTGTATCATTTGTGCTATCTGAGTAGAAATACATCTAGATTTTGAAGACACCTTGTAGACACAAATGCCTCAATAAATCAAAGCTGTGGTTCAAGCTAGAGTAAAGGAAACAAAATATTAAATATTTGGTTTTTATTTCCTGTAAACTACATGATTGGGAAATTTTCCACTCTTTGTTTCTGTTTATATTTTTTCTGCTTGTAAAATGCAAGTTAGCATTACGAAAAATTAATGTTTCTGTAGTCAAAATATTCCTCTTTCATTTTGTTTTATTTATGATGATTGGCTTTTTGAAATAAACTTCAAAACAAGTTTGACTTTAAAAATTCATGAGTGATCAGAAATTTTTTGCCAGAGATTGTATATCGATAGTAACTGAAAGGAACCTATGTTATTCCTTTAGTATTTTAGAGAATGAGAAGTAATTTTATCATCACAGCCACTTCTCAGAACATATGAAAATACAATTCCTAAATATATATTAGAAAAATTTTTTTTTAGTTAAAGTTTAGTTTTTTTAGTAAAATTTTTTTAGAAAGTTAAAAAATTTGCCTAGTTAATAATTTGTATTATATAATATACAAATTATATATAAAATTATTTCATAATTTTTTTTTAAATTAACCAAATTATATTAAAAACATGTAATTTAAATAAGTAAAATTAATCTTACCTGGTTTGAGATCATAATGAATAATGGGTGGTTTAATTTCATTCAAATATTTTAATGCATGTACAACCTGCATGATGATACACCTAGCTTCTCTTTCAGGAATGCATTTATGTTGCTTGAGGTAGAAATCTAGGTCATGCCCATCACAATATTCCAATACTGTACAAAAACTGAAAAAATTCAAACAAATTATTATCAATTTACATAAACATTTAAAAGAATTATCAGAGTCTTAATTTATAACACTTTATTGTGTTAGAAGCATAAACAAATTGTAAAGCACGGTTTCATATCATCAAAATAAAAGAATTATCAGAGTTGTTAGCTTTCTTAATGTAATGTAATATGGCTAGATATGTATATTTAAATTAATCATAACTTAGTCTTCTGTCATAATGGCTATTCTTCGTAACACAACATAGAAATCATAAAACTTCAGCAATCAAAAAAAGTTAGAAAAGTGTTAATAACAGGATTCTTTCTAAGTAAATTCAATTATTTACATAAAATACAGAAAAATCCTTTCTGTTAATTTCTTCCACACCCAAACTTAACATCATTCTATTTCAAGAACTATATTTTGGATGTTGCTTAGTTAGAAGAGTGAAGCATGCTTGAAAATTAGATTTAAGTATTGCAATTAGCTTGTTACTTTTGTTACATAGGATCACCAGCTACAGACCCATTATTATCATTTGCATTTGTCCTTTATTGTATTTTTAATATTATGTAAATAAAACCAAACTGATCATAACTTTTCATTGAAAGTTATACAGTGGGTGATCAGTTAACGAACAAATTGGATAATGAACACCTTCTTAAATGATTTTTATGTTCAGACAACGAACACATGATCGGATAATGAACACCCCACAGAACAAACACAGAAGTGACATAAAACAATGAATACCAATTGGTCTTCCCTTGTCTTTGAGCACCAATTTGAAACTTTTGGGAGTGCGGGAGATGTTGACATCGATGCTCAACCTGGTATATACCGATCGGATAGTATTCCTCTGAACTTTGAGACTCTCCCTTGAAATTCCAGCCTTTTATTTTTCTGACAAAAACAATTCTTTTGTGTATTTGCGAGACTGTCGAATAGGCACTCGTTAAGTTTTGCACCTGTTTTTCTTTTTGAAAGGTGAGAGTATAATAGCAAAGGTAGAGAGTGGACAGAAGATGCCTAATGTTACTGGGCAGTATGGCATGAACAGGTCTACAGTAGGCCACAGTTCAATCTTATTTAAGAAAGATACTGTATAATCAAGAAGACTCAAGCATCTAAAGAAGTAACAAATATCACATCTGAGAAATAAAGAACATTGAAGAGTTCATAATGGAACCTGAAACTGATCTGATGACAGAATAATGCCAAGAAACTCGGCGAGATATGTTTTCTTCTGAAAAAGAGGATCAATGCCGATATCTGCTATTAAAGATCTTTTGAAGAAGTGGGAGGATGTCAGAACAATGGTCTTAGAATGGCATCCAAACCAGGTTGAGGCTTGGGGATTTCTACATTTACAATGCTATTAATTACTTCTGAAAAATCCTGAAGAAGAGAGCAAAGCAATCGACATTAGACAGATTATTTAACCCTTTCAAACAAAAAAAAACAAAAACGAATAAAAATGCAAGACTGTGTATGTATGTAGTTTTATTATTACATATAAATAACGTAGTGAGAAAGTATATATTTTTTATTTTTGGGGGTCACCAGAACAAATTAATTAAATTCCCATTAAAACCTATGGTAAATCGATAATTGGTTAATGAACAATTCTGATAGTGAACAAAGTCTTGGAATGGATTATGTTCATTAACCGATCACCCACTGTATATCAAATACATCTAAATATTTCCAAGCATAAAGGTCTACTCCATGATTATACCAAAAACATTAGTAAACATTTTTTAAAGTTAAATAATTTAAATCTCCTAAATAAAAATAGCATGAAGTCTTCCATATGGTGTAGGTATCTGAATAATACTATTTGTTTTTCTTTTTTGTAGAAATATTCACAATTACTTAAATGTTCTTGAAAAGATAATTTTTCTCCTACATAAAATGATCCAAATTATTATAAAAAAGAATTAATATAAAATAAAAACAAAATCAATTTAAAATATTTGAAGAAGAAATTGATTATTCAAGTATTAATTCATATGCCTCTATGTCCTTATTTTCTACAATTTGTTAAATGTTTGTCTATGAGGACTAAGCTTATTAATAGGACTTATTCAGAGGAACAAACAATCATTATTTTCACCTTGTATTAATACAAGGGGAAAATAAACATTGTTCCTCTGAATAAGTTTTTTTCTCAGTTGCAAAAACCAAAACACCGGTGCAATAAGTCCTATTAATAAGCTTAGTTCTCATAGATAAACATTCAACAAATTGTGATTATTCAAATGTTTATATGATTGGAATTTTACAACAGAATTTTAAATGTTAACATTTTTATTAATCCAAGCTATCTTTATAAATAAAATATTTTTATTTTAAATTATATTTTTTACAATTAAAAATGATTATTATTAAATTGCAGTAAAAAAATTTTGAAAATCTCAAAAGATAAATTTATGTACTGTCATTAAAATGCAACAATCATCAACAATTTCTGTAAAGTCAAAAAAGTTTCTAAGATGGAGACCATAGGATAAGAGTTCATAAGATTTCTTTGTTCTTTATCCTTTAATATCTATGAATATTTATTAATATTCATAACATTCCAATATTTTAAATAAATATAAATATGCATAATTTTAAAATCTTAATCTAACTTGTATTTAATTATATAGAAAATTAATGCCATACTTACGAATTAGCATCTATTTCAAACACATCGAACAATTTAACAACTCTAGGATGATCCAAAGATTTATGTATATTGTATTCCCTTAATGCATGTCTATAAAAAAAATTACAAACATGTAGTTTTTTTTAAATAAAATTATAAGTTACAAACTACATTACAATACATTAAATATTTTATTTGTATAAACTCTAAAGAAATTTATATCATTTATAATAAAATTATAAAAAAAGATACATATAAGTTTAACAATATTAACATTTATGTTAGATGTATCTAAGTTTAAAAAATTACTTATTTATACTTATTATACTGACATAGCTTATTAGAAAGCATATTCTAACTGAAAAGAACTTAACATTCTAAAGCAACAATATACAGTAGAACCTCTACATTCATCATTAATCTGTTCTTAAGGATCTACTGAATATGGAAAATGATGAATATAGAAACAATTTTTCTCATAATAAATAACTGATATTCAATTAATCCGTTCCCACCCTAAAAAAAAAAATACAAGAATAAAAATTTTGTTGTTTGTAAAACTTTATCTCTATTGTACTAAATAAATACAGTATAGTGGTAGAAGCAGAAGTAGAGTAAAGTTATGATTGTTTAGAAGACATAAGACATACCATCAATTAAAACATTAGATAATTCCAATTATGATCATGGGGTCTGTTTTGCCGATGATTCAATAACACTCAATTTAATAAAGAACTTGTCTAGTGTTGTGTTTTTTTGTCTGCTTTTTAAAACTTTTCTGAAGTAGACAATTACATTATCATTGAATGTATTTGTATTTTGGTTAACTATAGCAACATTTGGGTGCCACTTTG